GCAGTTGTGAGTGGAGGGAAGCTTCTGTCATTCACTGCAAGTGTGTAAAGGTAAAGGTTCCCTTGCTCGAAAGCCAGTCAAATCCAACCCTTGGGTTGCGGTGCTCATCTCCGTTTCAAAGCCGAAGAGCCAGCGCTGTCCGAAGACGTTTCCGTGGTCATGTGGCCGGCATGACTAACGCCAAGGCGCACGGAACGCTGTTACCTTCCCACCGAAGTGGTACCTATTTGTCTACTTGCAATGTCTTGCTTTCGAACTGCTAGGTTGGCAGGAGCTGGAACTAGAGATGGGAGCTCACCCGGGTCTTGAACTGCTGAACTACTGACCTTCCACAGCTTGCAGTTCAGCGTCTTAACTACTTGAGCCACCGCAGCTCCTAGAGTCGGATTCGTGTGTACACACTGGTTTGTTTGTTTGTTTTTTTAAAATCGTTCAATCCTCACCATAAAACAAGACATGGGTCATAACTTAGGCCCAATCTGCATCTAGCATTTGCTCCGCTGTTATACCAAACCCACACTGGAACAGAAATTCCCATCTACATCGCATGCCACTTTCACTTTGCTTGAGTGTCGCATTTTATGGCAGTGCCACTTTCACCTTCTTTGATCTCTGGTTAAATGGTGGCTGTCTGCAGAGATTTATGGCTGTTTTATCGCCTTTCGGGGGTGACTCAGCAGTCAGTACAGTGTTGGACCGGGGTAGTTGAATGTGGTTTTGAATGGCATCTTTTTCTGTTCCGGTGTGGGTTTGGTAAAACAACGGAGCAAATGCTAAATGCAGATTGGGCCTTAGAAGGACACATACAAAAGTGCAGACGGGATTGGGCTGCCCATACGTAATTTAAGCAACAATGTTGTCTTCCGTTCTCTAAAACAGAGGTCCCCAAACATTTGGAGCCTGTGGGCACTTTTGGAACCCTGACACAGTATGATGGGCAGAGACACAAAAATGGTTGCCACAGGAGGTGAATCCAGCCACTGAATGGCTGCCACCGCTTGCATTCAGTCACACAGTGAAGACTGTTAAGAACATAAGAACCTAAGAGACGCCAATGTTGGATCAGGCCAAAGGCCCATCCAGTCCAACACTCTGTATCACACAGTGGCCAGAAATACCAGGGGCCATCAGGAGGACCAGCAGTGGGGCCAGGACATTAGAAGCCCTCCCACTGTTGCCCCTCCCCAAGCACCAAGAAGACAGAGCATCACTTGCCCCAGAGTCCCTATCTATACCTTGTGGCTTAGAGCCACGGATGGACCTCTGCTCCATATGCTTATCTAATTCCCTTTTGAAGCCATCCATGCTTGTAGCCGCCACCACTTCCTGTGGCAGTGAATTCCATGTGTTAATCACTCTTTGGGTGAAGAAGTACTTCCTTTTATCCGTTCTAACCCGACCGCTCTGCAGTTTCATGGAGTGCCCACGAGTTCTTGTATTGTGAGAAAGGGAGAAAAGTACCTCTTTCTCTACCTGCTCTTTCCCATGCATAATCTTATAAACCTCAATCATGTCACCCCTCAGTCGTCGTTTCTCCAAGCTAAAGAGCCCTAAGCGCCTTAACCGTTCCTCATAGGGAAAGTGTTCCAACCCTTTTATCATTCGAGTTGCCCTTTTCTGCACTTTTCCCAAAGCTATAATATCCTTTTTAAGGTGTGGTGACCAGAACTGCACACAGTATTCCAAATGAGGTCGCACCATTGATATAATCCTATTGGTTGCATTTATCGAGACCGTGCAATCCTACTAGAGTCTCTGTGAGAGGGGCAGGCTCTAAAGTGAATAAATTGACCTGCAAACCACTTTCCCAGCTCCTATGATCCCTGTAGAAGTCTGAGATCCATTTTTCATGCTTACCAAGAGAAAAGAAACGTGACCTATCACAATTTTGGACTCCTGAGAAGCCATGTTGCTGCTCACATTCACCTTCTTGCCTATAGAACAGCCCTCCCCGCCCCCAATGTGGCATCCATGGCTACAGTGGTGCCTGCTGACACCTATCCTGGGACCCACCCAGTGTGTTTAGAAAGTGGGCGGGGTCAGATAGGGCTTTTGCCCAGCGAGGCTTCTGATTGGCCACTGGAGATTCAATGAACTGTGCAGATTCTTTAAAATGTTGCTCTGGCAGCAGCT